AACCCATTACAGAAAATGAATATCTGTAAAGTTCCTTACAACTAGATAATTCTCATATTTCTGAAAAAAAAGGTACAGGATATTTTCCAAGAATCAAGACTAAATTCGTCGTTGGAGATTTGCATTTTAACTAATTAGCTCAATATAACTCCTCTTGTCTTGGTTGGGGTAGGTAGAGGTCATCTGGGTGAAAGGAATCAGGTTTTTCCTTTCTGTCATGTGATGGATTAGGTAGTGGTTGCTGTGAGCCTGTGACTACTTAGAAAAGTCGCACTATATAACAACTTTTCTTTTGGATAACAATAAATGGCGTTTGAACGAGAAATCAGAGCAATACATAAGCTCAGTTTCAGGTGCTCTTTTCTCTCCATTTCGTTCACGCTTCTGAAGAAAAAATCTTGATTTTCATTTATCTATTTATTTTTTTATCAAAATTTTCGGTTTTATTTTAATCACTGTTTCAACATGTGTATTGTGTATGGCAGCTGAGGAATGAAGACATTTATTGTGTGAGGCAGGCCCTGCGCGGAGAAGCTAATCGCCAGAAGAGATACACATTTGCTTTCCAGTAGGTTTCCTTTATTAATTACGCAGGTATGCCTGTGTTGAGAGAATGGGTATACCCTTGTTCTAGAATTTTGGAATGCGACGAAATGACCATTCTCCTACAAAAAGAAGGCACGCCTCAGGGATTTTTTCAGCTGGTTGCAGGGCTTTTGAGTTTGAGAGTGGCGTCTAGGCAAGATGCAGTTATCCAAGGATTGTTGCATGAATAGGTCCCGGAGAGGGTGAATACAAATGGTACAACTGTGGCAGAGTTCACAAATTGAATTTCATGGCTAAGGAATAAGCTAGGACAGAGTGGTCTAAAAGATGAAGACCTCGTTGGACCCCGAGAGAACTGGGTGTCTGGGCAAAATCAGGGGCAATGTCCTAGCTGGAGACGAGTACTTATCAAATTCAAGTCCAACATCCACAACTGCATTAATCAACTTTTAAGCAGAGGCCTCATCAAATTCTTATCTAACTGAAGAAAAAAAAAAAGAAGAAAAAAACCCTTGTACTGATAATATTTGCCTTACAAGAATCATCCGTAGTTTAGCAAAGAGATGACTTGAAATGCTATGAACAATTGGAACTGCAACTGCTTCAGCCATACCAGGCAGAAATGCCAATGATGTTGCCCAGCCCAGAAACTAATTACGAAACCTGCAAGTCAGAAAATGGCAGAAGTTACTCCTGCGAGATGCCCATATATCAAACATCTCTTTAGCCAAGTGTAGCAAGTATTTATGTAGGCAAGCTTGCCATTCAACATAAGATAGTCTCGGCTAGGAACGTTCCTATGTGAGAGAACCTTTAAAATGACTTTTGAGAACGCAGGTTGCCGCTTGAATTCAAACACGATGGATCCCAGTGATCATAATGCGCATGGTTGTCCTATCAGCCCTCTAAGGGATTTGCAAGCCCATGCACGGCAGTTTGATTAACCATATAACCATCAAAATCTCAAAAATCTGCATTGTCAACAATAGTATCGGTTGGATTTTCATCAATGGCTGGGTAATATCCATTTAGAGCACAGAGATTCTTTAACAATTAAAATCATGTTCATCCATTGGCCAGGATATCATCCAGAATATGAAGTGGCCCTGAATCACCTAAACTGCTGAACAAGCACCGAACTAAAACATTCCATGTAGCTATGTTGGGCCATATTCCCTCAGATATCATCTTATTAAAGTAACCGAGTGCTTCTTCTACAGCAATCCAATCACATATCCCCCATAAAAGACTAGTATATGATACTACCTCTGGGTGCCAATCACCTACTGCTGACATTCTATCAAAAAGTTGGATGGCAGTCTCAAATTGACCCTGATTACAGTAGGTAAAATTATTGTATTATGTGTGATAGCATCAGGCTTTATCCCCCACACAAGCATTTTCCCAAGAAGCTGCAGTGCCTCTGCTAGCATACCAGCATGAGAAAATCCAGACAAAGTGGTATTATAAGTTACCAAATTCCATTCCATCCCCATTGCTTCCATTTCGTTGACAAGCCCAAGAGCTTCTTCCAATCTATATTTTCTTTGAAAAGACCATCCAATTGCTCATTATATGATATGGTGTTAGCTGAGCACCCATAAACCCCCATTTGATCAAGCACCTTCGTTGCTCACACTACTCTTCCACCACAACACAAACCTTTGATAAATGTATTAAAAGTAATTGTAGTAGGAAGACAGTTATCCACAAGTTACCAGACTTTGAAAAGCCATTAATAAGAGAACTATATGTAGTTGCATTTGGGTGGCAGCCACTTCCCTCCATCTGGTAGGAGACAGTTAAAGCCTCACTGATTTTCCCATTGTAGCAAAAGCCATGAATTAGAGTGTTACACATAACAATGTTGGGCACAAATCCCTCTCCAGTGATAAGGTTCCACAAGTCAAGAGCTTCATATACCCTTCCTGCCAGGAAATAGCCCTTTATCAATGAAGCAAAGGTGTGGATGTTGGGGCCGCATCCTCTCACAAACATCTTGGCCAACATTGCCAGGGACATCTCAAGCTTCCCTACATCAGAAAGAGAACTGATAATAGTTGAATAAGTAATAACATTAGGATCTAGACCATACTCTGCCATCTCAACTAACAAACAAAAGGCCTCAAATTTGAATGCACCATAGAAAACCATTTATCAAAGCATTATAAACACTCACAACTGGTTGATGTCTGAGCGTGAGCCTCCTTGCTTCATCTAACTTGCCAAGCTTACACATAGAAGGTACTAAAGTTGTCTAGCTCACCATATCAGGAGAACACCCTTTTTTGACATTTCCACAGGCATTTCATAGGCAGCATCTACCTCATTGTTCTTACATAGTGCTTTCAAGAGAATATTATATGTGAACACATTAGGCTCCAAACCATCTCTCTTCATATTTTGATACATTGGATTAATCATCTTAAACCTATTCTCACTAAGCAATGCATCCAACACATGATTATAAATTCTCACAGTCGGTTTGCACCAAAATTCCCCAATCCCACAAAAAATTCTCAAAGCTTCTTGGCTAAGCTCCTTTGTCCTATAAGATTCAATCACACTCAAAAACAAACCTTCACTACAGCTAAGTCCTTCTAACTTCATTTGATGCAAATGATACCGAACACCATCCAATTCAGACTCCTTGGCAAGCTTCTTGATCATGAATTGATATGTCTCTGGAGTGTGTTTACAGGCATTTGAATTGGCTATGTGTTTGAAATAATGCAGGGCTGATGCAATGTGGGGTTCATCTTTCAATCTATGTATCACTTGGGATTCTTCAAGAAGGGTCTGGTTTTTCTCCATTTGGGATTCAGTATTGGGGTTCAGAAGTGAGTTTGTGTTAAACGCAAATGGGATTGAAGATTTGTGGACTTTTAACATCGAAGAACATCCCTTTTCCAAGTACATGAACATGGTAAAGATTATAGCTTTATTTCAAAATCTTCAATTCAACACAGAACCCAGAAGCCTAAGAAGCTATAGAGTTTAAAGCCAAAACAAGCATGCCTAAGATTGGATGCTTTTGCTCGCAACTGCAGAATACCCGCTGATGAGATCAATTAACGAATTTTCTATTAGCTTACAAATTTCACTACAAAAATCACATCTCAATCAAATCTAGAAAAATCAAATCTCAATTTGCTTCAGAGGAACCTGATTTGCTACCCTCAGATTTGCAAGAGAATCAACAATCGATGAGAACAATGATGTCGGAGAACCATTCAACACCCGTCCGCAACCACGCCGGCAAAAGTGGAGTACGATTTCTTACTACTGATTTGGCTTGGATCTTTAGACCAGATAGAAATCGAGGAAAGGGGAGAGAAAGAGAGGGGGAAGGAAGAAGAAGAAGAAGCACAAGGAAGGAGGAGATGGTTCTGATCGTTGACGGGGGAGATGGTTTCCACCGGAGCCGGCATGTCAGACAAAGGGCGGAGAGAAAACGTCCGGGCAGAAGAGGGGTAAAAATTGAAAAGGATTTAATCCAAATGTAACATATCAGTAACACGAGATAAATTTTATTTAATAGGGCAAGGATAGTATTTAAGATGTGATAAATATCCCATTTGTCTAGACCACCAAGCACCAAACACGAATACAATTTTATTTAATATGTCCTATCCTACTATATGTCCAGAGGTCCAAACCTGCACAAAAAGTTCACTTTACCAAATTAACATCTCAATCTATTTTTGTCCCACGTTTCTCTACCAATAACGCAAAATTTTCATTGCTCATTCCCATTCAGACTGGCCTACATTTATTAAGGCAAACGAAGTACTAGGAAGAAGAAATCCTTCCTTTGTTATTTATCCAGAAGTGTAAAACACTCAGACAAGCCAAATAAAGGCTTAATCAACTTTCATCTTACAAGCGTCACGGTTTGCGAGGAGGTTGGCTTCAACAGCCTTGAAGAGTCCCAAGGCCCTGTCTCTCTCCGCTTTGATATCTTCTTCCTTGATATAAATGTCACCAATGGTATAATGGTTGCTGATGCTGATCTTGCAAATGGATCCTCCATCTGGAGCTGCCATAAACTTGATATCGTTAGAGATTTTCTCAAGATTGTTCATCAGAGCATCACCTTCTATGACACTATAGTTGAATGAGAAGTCCTTTTCGTCAATTGCTTCAATCTTATGCTTCACATACTTGACTAGGCTTCCTGTAAATAAAAAATAATTTAGTTATTTGCTTGTGATAGGCGAGGAGTTAGAAATGATTATGGAAACTAAACCTTCTCCAAAGGTGATCTTTTTAATGCTTCCAGGGCCTCCATCTCCTTCAATGAGTTGGACATTCCAAATGGCCTTTGGAACAATAATCCTGGGAATCAGATTGTCATAACCAAACACAAGGGCCCTGAACATCCGAGCTGGAGGAATCTTTGTGGTGACCTCCATTGTATCAATGAAAACAACCATTGTAGCCTGCAAAATCTGGGATCAATGAACAAGAGAAGGGCTGGTCTGCGAGATTTAAAGGGCACAAGTCATATCAAAAGGGTTTAAATCCAATGGTCGTCCCTCTACTTTCATATTTGATTTATTGTGCTTCCTCTACTAAGGATTTGTTCGTTGTCGTCCCTCTACTCTATCAAAGAGCTAAACGTCGTCCCTTTACTCCTCTTTTTTTGTTCATTGTCGTCCCTTGCTTGACGCGTCCATGTTGCTGTTACTGCTGACCGTTAACTCCTAAACGGTCAGCAGTCAAACTCACCTTTTCTATCTTTTCTTTGGTACTACGCAGATGGGAAAATTGCAAAAAGGTTGGGAAGATTGCGACAGGCGCATGGGACCTACTAAGTACTAACTACACGCGAAAATTGCAGAGCGAAAGGGGTGGGAGTGGAACCTATTAATTATATGGGAAAATTGAACCGAGGCTTGTGAACAATGGATAGCCCTCAAATCTTAAGTGTTTGGGTGAAGTGATCAAACTTTTTAATTTTATTATCGTCGTGAACTCCATCAAAAAGTGACTTGATGGTTGCGTGCCTCATTTGAGGGGTAAAATATTCACTCGATCTGAAAACCAATTATTAACAATTAACTTACTAACTTCCTAACCATTATCTTGTAAAAAAAAATTATATGGGAAAATTGCAAAAAGTAAAAGAGACCCACCTTTTTTTATTTTTGCTTTATTACTTAGTGGGTGCCATATACTTTTAAATGCAAGCATCAATTCTAAGTTATGATTAATTAGAAAGAAAATATAGGAAAAAGGCAATCCAAGACTTTGCAAGCAGCTACAATTTTTTTTATAGTTGAACTCTTCACTGCAATATGTCCTTCACCAAAAATTGGGGCCAAATGTTACAGAAACCAAATTTGAATAGTCCTCCACCATCTACATGGAAAAATGGGTTATATGTGGTTGGCCTTAAGGTTGGTACCATTGGGCAGATACTTTACCTGCTGCGCGGCACCGGATCAAATATTGTTTCATGGCAATGCCAGCCTTGCGGGCGCTGCTTTGAGTCGGACCATCGAATCTTTGATCCCATGTTGTCGTCTTTTCGCTGGGTTAGTTGCCATGACGAGGAGTGTAAAATCTTTGGGTTTGGCGTAAGGAATGTTTAAATATCTTAGGAATATACAGTAACTAGAATATTTGATAGAATAGAGGTAGGAGCTTTATTTTGTCATGATTTTTGTAGCATTGAATGCATAAAAAATTATTTGAGAATGGAGATGTAAGTGGGGCATTTTTTTGAATTAATTTATTTGAAAATTTATATATTTTAATATCAAGTTCAATTGTGGATTAACTATAAAAGAAAAATTTGTTACTTT